CTACTCGTCTGTTCTCTCGGTAACTCCTCTTTTTTCTCTTCTTGTTCTAACACTATTCCAACAACTATCATTCTGTCTCTCTCCTGAGATTTCCTTGTCTTTCCTATATGCTGTGTGTTCTCTCACATCCTGCAAAATTTTGCTCAAACCTTATGTTTCATTTCCCCCTCCACCACACTCACATCATGTTTTTGTTTTTTTTGTTGTTGTGTGTCCAGAGTTATGTTCTCACTCCACCCACTCATCTTTATTTTTTATGTTTTGGTGTTCGCGTTTGTTTTTTTTGTTTTGCATTTTTCTTTTATTTTTTTTGTTTTTTTTTTTTTTTCGTTTACATTTGTGTACTGGTTTTTTTCTTCTGTCTGTCTTTAATGATTGTGTTCTTTTTGGATTTTTTATGTGCTTATGTTGTTTTTTTTGTTTTTTTCACAATTCTACTGTCTTGTGTTGTTTTGTTTTTTTGTCAGTCGTCTAGCTTTTGGTTTTTGTATGCCTCGCTTTTGTGTCTTGTGTGTGTGGTGGGTTGTTTGTTGTGGTGTATTATTGGTGGTTTCTTATCAGACCTGTGAGTATGTAAAAATCTTTGCCGTTGTTTCTGGTTGGGTCTGTGGACACATGGCTACTTCGTTCTACTATCTACTGCAGTATAATATGTAAGGTAAAGTCCTGCAAGGTTCAAATTACTAACAGTGCAGCAACATACATCCACTTGAGTATAATCCGACATAGACTGACTCTCTCTGATCAGTATTATACAAGTGGAAAAATCATTTCTTCAAAATGAAGGGGATATAGGGATGGCTTGAAGCACCAAAAAGGAAGAAACAAGGGGTCATTACACAGCAAAGTTGCACAAAGCTACATGACACCATCCCTATATCTTTGTTTGATAAGCAAAGTTTAATATCGAACAAAGATATAGGGATGGTGTCATGTAGCTTTGTGCAACTTTGCTGTGTAATGACCCCTTGTTTCTTCCTTTTTGGTGCTTCAAGCCATCCCTATATCCCCTTCATTTTGAAGAAATGATTTTTCCACTTGTATAATACTGATCAGAGAGAGTCAGTCTATGTCGGATTATACTCAAGTGGATGTATGTTGCTGCACTGTTAGTAATTTGAACCTTGCAGGGACTTTACCTTACATATTATACTGCAGTAGAACGAAGTAGCCATTGTGTACGGCATGCTCATTTTATCTCCCAGGGTCTATAATAACAGTCTCACAATGCAGGGGATCATAGTGTTGCTGGTGATGTGGAATACAGCTTTACTGAAGGTCCCTATCAGGTCAATCTCACCACCAAAACAGTAGACGGACCTCCAACTATTGTCCTCTGGACAAAAAACTGTGCCAGGGCTGTGAGAGATACCACCGCTTTTCTGAGTAATGCTGAGAAAAGTGAATATTTACCATTATACTGACTATTTATTCCGCGGAAACCAAAGGTTCTTTATTTAAATATACCAGCATTCTCCAACACCGGCTTAGCCATTAGAAACAGTTCTACCGCCTGTAGACTTTGCTGAAATCTCTCTGGATGACTATCATCCTGGCTATATATGAGCACCATTTTAATCTGAGTTATGTCATCTGTAATGTTGTTCCAGCCTACCATCAAGAAACAGCAACATTTGCTTTTGGTAAACTTACGTGTTTATGATTATACTTGGTCAAAGTATATAAAAGTCTTACAATAACTATTTCGTAACTATTGTGTTTAGCGTTAATACAGAAGTTCCTATATAGGTACTCTCTATGGATTTTCAAGCAGTTGTTTTTGTTGTACATTTTACAGACAAGAAACACTTTCAAGTACAGTTTGGACCAATGGAGCACTGCCTAAACTGGGGAGTGAGTTTGTAACAATGTTCAGAGCTATCCATACATTTTCTCCTTTCCAGGTAGAGAAGAAAGACCGCATTGAGGATGAAATCCAAACCCACTTGGTTCGTATTATACGTCAAAACTGCACCATGTGCTATATATGATTTGACTACTGCCTTTCTGAGAAAAGTATCATTCCTTTGCCAGAGAAATCCTACTCATTTCACCTACCGCTCCACTCTTGTTAACCCTTTCCCAACAACAAACTCCAGTGATCTGCTGGGCATTATTCAGAGCTGGGTATCTTCAGGTCCTACACTGGTACCTGATGGTCTGTCAGTAAGGGTCAACCAATACTGTCCTAGCTACACGTATAGAGAGCCTGGAGGACAGGGAATGTGAGAACGAAGCTATGTATGATCCACAGATGGTTGAACTGATGACTCAAGTACTCAGTGTGTGCACAGTGAGGGAAATTGGGCACCAACTATGCACTGGTATATAGTTGATAGTGGAAAATGACAGACACATTAAAACTAAAAGTTTAGTATAGTGTATAGTGTGCAAGTCAACTACCTACCTAGCTAAATGAAAAGCACTAAAGTGCAAACCCTCGGCGAACTGCGCGTCCGCGGTATCGCTAATTGATGGGCTGGGCCTATAAGTATGTGTTTACCCGCGGTCCCCGCTAGTAGCTCGCGGATCAGGTCGGGGGAGCCAGCATAGCACGTTGATCGCGCGTCTAATTGGCGAGCAGGAGCGAGCTAACCTAGTGGTACGAACGGCGCGGATTTTCTATTTATCTACGACCGTACGTCGTCCAACTGTGCATGCTCCAGGATTACGCGCTTCTTTTTATCCGAAAGGATTTCAAAATTTCACATGCTGCCTGCCTGTGATGATGTCGTGCGTATACATGTGCATATAGTCTGGGGAATATGCCCTTCGTCGAGGTAAAGAGAACATCGTGCCCGTGAGACTCCTGAGCAGAGAGTCTCGTTTGTATCAGCGTCGCTTTCGTGATAGGGAACGCGCAATTTTTTACACGCTGCCCTAGCTGTCATATCGATGCGAAATATAGCCAGCCAAAGAACTCTCGTCTATCTGCTGGCATTCGCTGCGCTCTTCGATACCTGACCGAGGCTGTCTATACCTCCTTCCAATCTTCGTGATTCTAAGGTTCAAGTTGTAGGATGGCTCGTGCAGATAGAGTCATTGTGTGCTCGCTCCCGCTCGCCAAAAATGCCATGCATTCGCCTACTAGTGCGTGCGCACAGCTTATTGATGGGTTGGGCCAAGCAACGCCGTCAGCGACCGTGCGCTCTCGAACACAGTCGTTTCAGCAAAATCGCCCTTTAACTTTTCAGGTTCGTGTAATTTTGAAGCTGCTGGTATCGCTAATGGGCCGCTTGTAAGCCTGTAGTGCCAGACAGACAGAACGACTACCGTAACCCTCGATGCGCATGCGCGCCGAGAGACAACTATATAGGTATGTAGATCATACAACTTAGCTATTTGGTACTATTATTGGCGAGCGAATCGATCCTATTGCGCGAAGTATGCGGTCGTGCTTTGCGCAATCCGTTGAAATTTCGCACTCGAAGCTCAGAGTCCGAGAGCGCGAACCGTAGTCATCGAGTTGAATAAAAGCAGCTCTCTGCTAGTCAGTTTCGTACTAAAGCCAGCATTCTGAATCATGTTCGCTCTACTTTCATGTTGCAAATGCTCGTAGACAATCCTATAGGAACACTCACTCCACCGACGCCAGAAACATGGTGATTCCGCCTATATTTCAGCCTCGTTCCGCTCTCTACAAGGCGACGGGATTGCCATCTTTTCTACGCCACGTTCCCTGTCAGTGTCCACGCTGGACGGCGAAAATCTCGTACGTTTTTCGAAACTCGATCAACCAGCTGCACAATCGACAAAGACAAGGTCTCGTTTCAACTGTTACATGAAGGGTACGTACAAAAAAACAAGAGGGTCTACCACCTACCTGCCGTCGCTGACTCTAACGCATCCTGACTCTGCCGTAAAGGCTAGCATTGACACCCTGGCGGCACACCCGACTATTCGACTGCTGGAGCCAGCAGCGCGCACAATGGGCGAAGATCTTGGAATACTAGGACGTGACGAGCCAGCAGCCATGTCTTTTTACACGACCGCTATGGTGCTCACGCAAACCTACAGCAGCAAACTTCGTGCCACGGTCTCAGAAACGACGAACCCTTCGGATAGATACCTCTATCCGTCCCGGCCCGGTCAAGTTTTCGAGCAAGGAAAGTTTCCAAACTGCGATATGAACACATGCCCACCATACCAGAAAGACCAGTGCTACGGTTTATGCGGTCGTCAATGCAACTGCTGGTCGTAGTCGTTCGTGTGTGGCGACTGCTGCTACCATCTCGACTGCAAAGACCACGATGTATGCTGTGATAAGGGATACACAACCTTTTCTTGTTTCCTTCCTATCGGCTTCAAATGTGACGCTCCCTATAAGTGTTGAAAGCGCCGATAAATTCCATTTACTATTAACTGGAAAGGAAGTGTTAGCTACTAGACAATTACACGTTTGTTTCTAGCTACAGTGGTAGCTACAAATAAGATCGTACGTATGAACGTGGTTTTTGTGAGTGTGGTCGTAATCTATGCCGCGACTCGCGACCCTGACACGCTTTGTTTTCTCACTCTGTTCGCTCTTGTGATGAAAGTTTCTAACGATAGCAGATGCAGAACGTGCGACCTACGTACTCATACACGCAGTGTTCGCTCGCGTCACCGACTACGGCTCCGCCCTTTATACACAGCCACAACCGATGACCGCATATCCTCAGTTGGTATAATAGGTATAATACGCCTACACGAAGTATGTTTGTAATTATCATCTGACTTTGCAAAAGGTCACCTTGATGGAGTGTACAATCAGAGTCAATTGCTAGTGGCACATGTGGTGGTAGCTAGCCCTAGCCCCAGCCCGAGACAATTGATACCCACCTCAAAGGAAATGTGTGTCCACTGAACTACACTCTCTTTGCAATCTATTTGGAGAGCCACCCAGCAACCAAACTCCAACTAATGCTCTGCTATTCCTACCACCTCATGTGGTACTAGCAAGTTGAACCATCAATACTTGAAATTGCTCTTTAACACGGTAGCTAGGTTCTTGCTTGATTAACTATTACAATTATTATAATTATATTCACAACAGAATCGTGTATTGACACTTTTGTATGGACATGAGACAGTGATAAACAAATTTTTAAGATGCAGGGTGTAGTTAAATGGCTAAATCTACAGAGCTACAGCTGTCCCAGGATTCATTGTTGGATGACAAACTTCTCGTCAGGCTCCACATCAAAAGCTGTCTCGATTGTCTCTCCTTTTGGTAGAAAGGCTCCAACACTGTTTAAGAGGTGGTGATTCTTGTCAATGCCCACCAATGCTTGGACCTCTTCCTCAGTGAGGGACACTTTTGTTGCCTCAAAGTTCTCCTGGATCCTGTGAGGGGTCACTGACTTTGGAATCACCACAAACCCTCGGTGGAGGAGGAACGAGATGCAGATCTATAGGAGAATTTTTAGTCAGAGTAGCAGAAAAGCTTCAACTTTATTTTTTGCTACTAGCTGTGTTTGGCTAATCATTGACAGTAACCTGTGCTGCTGTGGCTCCTTTTTTAGCCGCTATTTCTTTGATGGTTGGATTCTCCATAACGATGGGATCAGAAGCCTGAACTCCCCAACGTGCTGGACTTCCAAGAGGCGAATAGGCTTGAATCAAAATCCCTTGATATGTAAGAGTGAAGATTGAAATCTTAACACAATTATATCATAAAGCTTACCTTTGGTATCACAGTATATACTCTCTAAGTTTATTCTGCTGGAAGAGAGGGTGGCACACCACCTGGTTGACAGCTGGTACAATCTTGGCAGTCTTGAGGAGTGCCTCTGTATTTCTGATGGTGAAGTTGGAGACACCTATGGCCCTAGTCAGACCTTCACTCACTGCCTCTTCCATGCCCTGTATGAACAAATCACTGTTAGCATAATAGCTACAACATACAGCTACAGCAACTGTCTTTACCTCCCACACTCCTGCCACGCGACACTCATCGTAACCAAGCTTGTCGTCTTCTGCGATATTTTTCAAGTCTGTGACTGTGTGGGAGAATGCAAATGGTGAGTAAACAAGGAAGAGGTCAAGGTAGTCTAGCTGGAGTTTCTTTAGAGACTTCTGCAAGGACAGCAGTACATATTGCTTCTCCATGTTAGCTACCTGACCTGAGCATCAAATAGAGAAAATAACATCAACAAGCTAATATAAAGTTTCGGCATACCAGAGTTCAGAAGTAACAAAGAGGTCCTCTCTCTTGCACACACCCTCCTCGAAACACTTCTGCAGAGCGACTCCAATCTCAGCCTCATTCTGGTAAGTTTGGGCAGTGTTGATGTGCCTGTAGCCTGCCTTGAGAGCCACTTAAAGACACTTAAACCATTGGCTTACCCAATTCCAAAGGCAGTAATGTGTGTTCCACTCAACATCTTTATTGTACTTTCAACCATATAGACAATCAAAATTGCTTCTTTTCGTGCCATTCTCACCTTGGCCATGGCTGGCTATGCAGTTTCAGAATCAGAGATTGCCCGTGTGCGTAGTACCAAGCACGCTTCATAGGCGAACTCATGACTGCTCAGGGGTGTAGACTGCTCAGGGGTGTAGCCAGGATTGAACCTTGGGGGAGGCAACCGGTATTCATTATTCATGCATGATTAATTGCCCGCATGTTGCGCAATGTCAGTGTTTACTCGCTCCGTCCCAGCGCGGCTTGGAAAAAGTCATCGGCGTCACGCGATGATCGCGGAAGGCCAGAGCGCCCGGAGCGATCCCAGGCTTGTGAGATACTCTCTGGAGGAGATGTCCGCTCTTCTGGTGTAATCCAGTGCTAACTGGATGCTCTCGCTGCTGGCGCTCGTCGTTGGTTACGCTGCGAAAAGCTGTAATAAAATTATTATAAGTCGGAAGAAACAGAGGAGGCAAGAGCCTCAATGCTAGCTACGCCCCTGCGCATGCGCAGCGAGGGTTCGGTATATAGTCGTTATGTGTGTCTGTGTGCCTGTCTGTCTGTGTGTCTACGACTATTCTCGAACTACAGACAACGAGGCGGCTTATGAGCGATACCAACAGCTTTAGCGGTAAATGGGCTAGAAAAATAAAATGGCGATTTTGCTGAAACGACTGCGATTGGTGAAGGGATATCAGAATAGAGGTAAAGAGGGATTGGTGAAGCTAGGTAGGTAGAGGTGCAGAAAGAATGTACAATACTATTCCATACGTCAATGATTGTCCATGTAATTAGTAAGGTTTGCTGATCTGTTCTTCTACCGATGTTCTTACAAAACATGCAAAATCAGTGACACCTTCATTAGAGTTTGTTGGCAAAGGGACAGGAAATAGAGGCAAAGGAAGTATTGGTGAAGCTAGGTAGGAAGAGGTGCAGGAAGATAGATTCCATACTTCAACAATAGTCAAAGTAATACAGATGGTTCACTTGTCTCTTCTTGCCACAATATTCACACAAAAAATGCAAAATCATTGACACAATTTTAGAGGTTGGGGAGTGGGTTAGCAGATGTACAGCAAAATAGAGACATAAGAGGGATTCATATAGGTGCAGGGAGATAAATATCCCATACTCCAATGATAGTCAAAATAATTGCAAATGGTTGGTCTCTTCTTGCCCTGGTCTTTCCGCAAAAAAATGCAAAATCGTTGGAATGCTCATCAGGCTGATTGGCAAAGGTAAACCGAAATAGAGGCATAAGAGGGATTTGTAAGTGCAACGAGATTCATTGCTATTCCATATATACTCCAATGACAGTCATAACACTGTTGGTTGGCTTGGCCCTGATGGTGGACTTGAAAAATCACAGCTTTAGTGTTCCTCAGTATAGGGAGAGCAGACATGCTGACGCATGCCCACATGTGGTGAGAAGTGGGCGGGGAATATATTAGTAGGGTCCCAATGGACGCTGCGAAGGACCTTCTGAAGCGAGCGGTGGAGCTGGACTCGGCGCAGAGATACTCAGAGGCTCTCATCTGCTACGAGGAAGGCATACAGAATCTACTGAGGGTGATGGGAGGTAGGTGCACATGAGCATCGTCTATTGTTTGCTCTGACCTTGAGTGTGTATCTATCCCGGACGGTAGGGTGTAGTGAAGAAGAAAAGAAGGAACTGCGAAAGAAGGCAGAAGTCTATCTAGCAAAGGCTGAAGTACTCAAACAGGAGGCCAGAGAAGGATATGGTGACTATATTTATAGAGCACCTGGGTGCATCAGAGTCAGTCTCGCCACCTGTCTGTTGCAGTGGCCACAGAGAAAGTAAGGTGTGTTCAGGTGAGACCAGGAGACAAGGGACACAGCTACAGCTCTGTGTTTGGTGGATGTATGGACGGCAATGTGGAGAGTATTTCAGTGAGAGACCCCTACATCAGGGCCAGACACCAGCTGCACAACTTTGTGCGTTTCTGTGAGCTGGCCGTCAGGAACTGTTGCTGGCTGAAGGCCATTTGTCTGATCACTGGCAGAGAGCCTGAGACTGAGGTACGGAGAAGAAGAGTGTGAGACTGGGAGAATGGTTTCTAAATGGCTCTCTGTTCTATGTACTATATAGCCGCTACAGGCATCATCTCTGAATGAGTTAGAGGAGCGTTTTAAGGAGTATTCCATGGTCTTCATAGTGGAGTATATATTCAGACACTCTTCATGATAGAGAGATCTGGTGATGCACTACCCACACACATATCTGTATGCACAATAATGCTAACTGGGCTACTGCAAGATCTAGATAATATGGTGAAATCTGCCTTTTCTCTCTTTCACAGGTTAAGTAATGGTTGGATGGTGAGAATGGGCAAAGGATTAGATTACTTTCAAAAGTCAAGGTACTTTTTGCAATTCGGTAACTAGCTATCATGACTGATCAATGCCTTCTTTTTAGGGACGGTTTAGCTACCATTGGCTCCAATGATTTTGATCTATGGCCATGTCATGAAACTACCATTGAGATCTACCACAGATTGAACATGAAAAATCTGTCAATAAAACATAATTAATTATGACACACATTAATTTTTGATATACACTCACATGTTATATATATTTTACATTATGACATTTAGTTTGTGTACTTTAACAAAGAGACACATATTATAATTATTCATTACAGAAAAGGATTAGTTCAAGTAAAAAATGATGCACAAAATAATGGATCACAGGTTTGATGTCATTTCCTCAAAGTCACTAAAATCTCCATCTGTGAGTGTAGACATGTTCAACAGTTGTGCGAAATCATCACCAAATTCAAAATCATTGGCATCATAAAAGTTTGTCTCACTAGCTGTATCATCGATTTCCCATTCTTCACCATTATCATCTTTCTCCTCGGTTTCCTCTAATACAGAGAACTCATTAATTTTTGCCGGTTTTTGAAAAGTAGCACTAGACCTCCTCCTTTCGAGGACATGTGGAGGAACTTCAACTGTTGGTTCCTTTGGCATCACAATAGGTCTGGGTGTCACTGGAGGATCGACTTTTTCAACTTCTTTAGTTGCGGGTGGGGTGTGGTGGAACCTGAATCGCCTCTCGAGAATGTGTGGAGGGACTTCTGCGGCTGTGGCAGTGTTAGTGATTGTAGTGGCTTCGGGACACAGGTCCACCTTTTCCATTTCCCCAGACATACCTGATTCGCTATCATCTCGGTCCGACACATTTCCGTTGGTAATTACAAATTCAGTCTCGGTCTCTTTTTCTTCCATGATGCTGTTAGGGAGGGCAAACAGGGCAGTTCTTGGGGAGGCCATTTCGGATGCTGAACTTTCACCGATTGAGTTGGTCCTACTAGACGAACTAGGAGGAGCAAGTAAAACGTTTCTCTTGAGTGCGCTGGTGTAGTTTGGATTGGTTGTCAAACCAAACGATGAGCTATGCTTTTGATTGTTAGACCGTGCGTGGCTGTGGCTGGAACGAGACAATGCGGTACTTCGTCTCTGGAGCTTTCTGCGGCCTAGTGTCAGGAGGTTCAGCCAGTGTTCACGAGCGTCCTGAGCCAGAACACAGAAGTAGAGGAAAAGGAACACTCCCTGAAGGGTTGAAAATATGACAAAGAGCCACTGGAACGCCTCTGATGCCTGTGCGATGGTAAAAGCACCAAACAACCACTGTAGACCAAACATGAACATAATCGAAACGACGCTAAGAAACGTTTTGAAAGTTCCGAAAACTTTCTTCTTGTTGTCAATGTCATCTATTTTTCGCAGGTAGTGCTTGATGAGAACTCTGAGAACTATAACAAAGACGACCGTGTTGAAGCACACAATTGCCAGGATTGGTCCCAAAAACAGGCCAAAGAACACTCCAATGTGACTAATGAAACAGCTGAAAATAAAGAGAAAGGTTACAAACTTGTTTGACTGGCTTATGAATGTGAGACACTCACAAATTTCCTTCCGAGATGAGATAGTTGTGGCCAGATCCAAGCGTAGCTAATCCAATGACAATCAATGGAGTTGGAAGAACTGGAGAAAAAAGTAATACAATTATATAGCTACATGCATGTTTAAGCTATTATAATATAGGTATGTGCAAGTTAAAACACAACAGCAACAGTTGGATAAAAGTTATGGCGATTGCCTTTTGGTTATAATTATACAGCACAAAGCTATGGTTTACAACTTGAGCATGTACTTACTCCAGGCAATGATGGAGAGAATAAGGAAGTGAATGTGACCGAAAACAATGATAAGTCTGTGAAACATGAGCACTGCCTCAGCTCCCATGAGTGCGACAGATGCCATGGTGAAGTACTGGATAAGGAGGGAGCAGATTGTGCAGCCCACTTCGCTTTCAGTGCGGTCGATTCCAACGAGGAAGAAGAAAAACATGCAGAAGATGGCAATACATAGCTGGACATGGAACTTGCTAGCTTCCTTCTGGCGGATTTTCCTGCAAGACAATATACCCATTACATTTATATAACCATTAACAAAACATTCGGTGTATAGCAAAATTCGTTTTTTCCATGATTCAACTCACTTGAAGCACAAGAGAGTGATGATACTGAAGAAAAGACCAACCATTGAAAGTACACTTCCAACTATCGAAAATATTCTCAGAGGTTTGTTATCTTTAGGTGGTGAATCCCGAGCATTTATATCCTGTAAAATGAGTTAAGTATCGCAAAAAGTACTTAGCACATTTTAGCTATGGAACTTGAGATTAACACACATGCGGCAAAAGTAATTCTGTGTCATATAATAATAGTTAGAGTTACTTAAAACTCGCCACGCCCTATATAGGTGCGATCACTTTGCTTGCTAATCGTTTCTTTGGATTGTAGCAGTTAAAAGCCCGTTTTTTCCCATGGAGCATGGTTTACAGTAGCCAACTCACCACTAACACACCAAAGTTGGTGAGATGAGAACAGCCGCAGACCACCACCTCATTGTCCTTATCGACTGACAGGACTGTGCAGCCAGTAGTTGACCAGTTACCATCACCCTCACTAAAGTTGTAGGACACACACACCGGATTTGACCAGTTCTAGATAAAAACAGAAACACATGAGTAGCTAAGGGCTGTTTAAGATACTGTGTGTAGGTGTATGCAGCAGCCAACAGAATATAACTCACTGAAACAATAATACTCATGGAAATGTTTATCGGTTGTTTTAGTCCTTGTATATTCTCCCCAGCCACTGTGCCTGATAGAACACTAGAGCCGATAGCCTTGTATGTGTCGTTCTGGGATTGGTTGAGGCGAAGTGGAAAGAGGATGTCTGTGGTATACGAGGAGAAAATTACTCCCGTCTTATTGTCTGAGACGTTCCTAAATGCAATGGGTGGAATGGATATTCTGTTGAATGAAGCATCGGTTCTGGATGAGTAAACGGTGTCGTTCGACATAGAAATGTCACTCTCAACGGTGGTATTGAAAACGGTTGTGTTACTGTCTCCAGTTTCATTGGAGAATGTGGCATTGTCACTTGCAGCGGAAGCAAGGCCACTTTCATTTGCAGCTGGCAATGCATCAGTGGGCTCTAAGTTTGTGAAGTAAAGGTAGAAAGTTTTTACAAAAAATTTTATAACTTAGAGCTTACTGATAGGCGCAGTAAAAATGAAAAAACGTCCCTCAGTTTTGTAAAGAGTGGTAGAATTCTACAGCATAAAATGAGTATAAAAATGAGAGTAGCATTATACAAAATGTACCCTTACCCTCTCTGCCTTGATGGTAATGTCCTCACCAACTTTTTCAAGTGCTGTGAAATTCTCTTGTTCCACTAGGTTGGCAGTTATTGCCTCAAACGACATCACCAATCTGAAAACACCATTTTTTTGTATGCTCAGTAGAACCTCTTTTTTTTATTAATGACACTCCGAATAGGAAAAAAAACATCTCTCAATAAAGTGTTTGAGGTACCAAAATTTATGATTCTAGTGCATTTTCCACCTCAAAGAAAAGGACAATCTCTCCTTAGTAAAAGGACAAATGTGTACATTATTCAAAGGTTCCACTGTATCCGGCGCATTATTGGGCTATTCTAGCTATTGGTTTATTTGTATTAGTGTCTTACGCAGTTGACTGCTCTTCAATAACTTCAGCAGGCCAGTCACTCAGATCGTCCAAAATTTCAACAGTGTTCTCAGCGAACTATACACAATATATATCGGGAATATCATACATTGTTGTATATATACCTGACTAATTTTGTTTAGTCCCATCTTACATTTTCATCGATGTCAAAGGTTCCATTATTGATCAGTCCGACCACACCCTCCAGCACCCCAGTGACACGCACAAGGTTATCTGGTGTCTGGTCCTCCTCGTTCGCACTGCTCAGGACAGTCGATATGTTCTGTACCAAACCTGAAGCTGTGTCTGCCGTCACCGTTAGCTGCAAATAATGTTTTTAATAGGTCATTACAAGTAAAGTTCTAACATTTTACAATGAATGTAGTTAGATACTGTGCAAATCCCTAATTGTTGCTGTTCTAATAGCCTTGTTTGTAGTAAGTTAGTTTGCTAGTAAATCTGATCAAACCTCTGCAAGGGTGGAGAGTTGATAAGTGGTCTTAGATATGCAACTTCCTGGCATGTACTCCATCCATTCGTAGGGGCTCTTGCAGTATCTACTGGCAAACCCAGGTGGATCATATTCTAGCTTTTCGTTAAACTCGCAAATCTGGTAGTTATGCGATCCAACTTGGGTCTCTTCCCATGTGTAAGTTCCATGGATAGTTTTCTCAGTCTCTTCATCACAGAATCCAAGTTCTATAATGCATACAGACATTTCTAACCTGTTACTTTTGATACACCAAAAACCTGGGATTTTCACTTACTCTGTACCCCTGTAAATTCTTATGCTACGTCATTAACTACTCCAACTTGGATACGGACATGAACACTAAATAGCTAACCCTTAAAAATTTTTAACTACATACTTGACACATTTGAAGAGTTTGTTATGGTGAAGTCTCCAAGTCGGTTTGAAGCCCTTTTGTAGCAGATACGACCGCTGTTTCATTCAGACCACCTTTGTTGTCTCTCACTAGGCACTCGATGCGTTCTAGATCACTTCCAGCATAAGAGCCACGACTGCATATATAACAGCAATATAGTGTAAATAGCTGACAAAAGATTACAATTCTACCCAAGAGACAATTGACAGCAAGGGTATTACTAGGAACAAAATGCACTGATAAAGAAAAACAGCCAATTTGGTAAAGTCGTATCTGAAGTTACACTGCATAAGGCAAAAATGGTTAGCTAGTTAGCTACGAGTAATTCTGACCGTGAACAAGATATGTTCCTCTGAACGTCTTGGGGATCAAAACTGCTTAATATCTTTTGGAAAGGACAATGTTGTCGGCATTAATACATCTCCTGATAAAATTGTACTACGATAAGGTCATCATCGTACCATTGTTTGAAACATGGCAAAGACAAAATCATCTGATCCGAACAAGAGACGTGATCGGATGTCTGCCACAGGACGTGATGAGAACCTCAAATAGATTGGTTGGAACAGGGAAGACTCCGCAGCTGTAAAAAATGACTAGATAGCTCACATGTGACTCCTAATACATAATCTTAGGCAATTTGTAGTCGCTTGCCACACCACCCAAAAACTCACGTGTAATGGCCTTTATTGTAACGTTGATTCTGCTGATTCCACTGTTGTTTCTCTCGGGGAAATTTTCAGCTTCACAAACATAGACATCATCAAGATTTCCTGATACCCCTACTGCTATCTCAACGTTCTCAGATATGATGGCAGATCGAGTAGCCAGAACAACTGACGTGTTTGAGTAGTAGTATGCATATAGCTGCCCGACAGTGTCCAAAGTCAGGTTACTGAAGTCAGTGATATCAGCTCCTGATGTCGACATTGACGTTGCCGGATTGTGCACCTCCATTCCTGCTAGTCCTGAACCTGAACTCTCTTCAAAGAAGTTTATTTCAGTTGCATTCACATTCACTGGAATCACTTCTACTGGTACAAGCTCAAAACCATCTGTATGAAAAGTGTGTGTATAGATCTGGTAGACAGGGTCGTAAGAAGTGGAGAGCTTACAAACCTGGAGTGGCTGCTGCGACTTTCTTGTACCAGGTGATTTTTCCTACAAACTCATTGTCAAGGGTTTCCACCGAACTACACTCAACTCCAAATGGTGCCCATGCATGTACCGTGTAAATCTTCTCCTTTCCATTGATGACTCGAGAGTAAGTAGTGTTCTCAGTGTACTGTGTCTCTGTTAGATTGATTGGTGGATGAATAACTGCAAAAAATATATATACAAACAATCTCACATGCTTGAATATTATCCCAACTATAGTGGTTTGCTAGGGTGCAGCAAGATAAAACCTACTTTCACAGCCAGTTCGATTCTCATTTGGAATTTGTCCAATCACACATACCACGGGATCTGTATTCTGTGTCCCAACAGAAGAGAATAGCAACACACACCTCAGATGCATCTCGCAGATCAATCAAACTTACAACAAGCACTCCAAAGAAAGAAAGGTGGTTACAGTCACACGTGACAAAATATCTGTCATTCCTTGTGTAGCTACATCCCTCGGTGTCTCTTATCCAATCACCCTTCACTGAGATAAAAAAATTATTAGAAATGCTGTTTGCCACATTCAATAATACATACCTCCTACTTCATCATTCCATACCACACATGACAATGTCTGTGAGTCCTGCAAGACAGAGAAACATGCTTGACTTCACAATTAAAAATGCCTGACACAGTAATTCACACTTACAGGATCTTCCAGCCGAAGAGTGATTGATATCGTTTCATTAGTCAGATTAGCTATTGTGTGATTCATCAGTGTAGCTCCTATGACGCCACTAGCTACCCTGATGCTGCTATTGCTGGAGCTCCCTGGTGACTGAGGCAGAAGTACAGAAGAATTGAACATCATGAACAGTAGGGTAAATGTATCATTGGGGAACATTTCAAATAGAGACGGAGGGAGAGATATAGATGCCTCCTGGCTGGTTTCAAGAGATGTGTTTGCTGCTCCTGATTCTGTTGTTAGTTCACCTGTAGTTAAAAAAATTAGCTATATAATTCTGTGCTTCTAATAAAATCCCTTATAGCCGCTACGCTCTTACTTTTCATGGATAACTGCTATACTAGAAACCTTTGTATTAACTTACCATGTCCACTTTTCACAACAGAAAACTTTATACCGTCTGCCATTACTGAATCATCCAACTGTAGAAAAACAGAGACAATGCTCACTGGGTATTTTAGTCCCACTCTAATACTTACTTTTTGCCCACGGAACGTGATAGAATTTGTGCTGATGATAAGAGGTTCTGAGAGATTTTGCTCATTTGCCAGCTTCTGAGACATTTCATCATAGTACTGTATAATCCTATGTAAAAGAGATTTCGGCATGAATAATGTTCACAACAATAAAACTGTATGTGATAGACACCATAAAGCTGAACCTACTCGGCTGAGCCATTCTGGAGTGTAGCTCTGGTGGTGTTATCGACTCCCCAGCTCTGAATCTGAGAGAGAATAGTTGTTGCAGTCTCAAAGGCATCTCTGTTTATTTCGATGGAGTCACTCTCTGCCACGGTGTGGAAGATGGAGGTGATGGTGTCAAGGTTGGTGCTGGAGCGGTCACTAGGGTCCGTTGCCTGCTCCAGTACCAACTCTAGGGCCATGAGGGAGTCATCAGCATCTGTTACTCCCATCTGCATGGAAAAACAGTACTTGTTGTGGCTGGCCAATCTGGTCTCAATAGTTTGTTGCAATTTCCATTGCTACTAGCTATCAGGAATCCTGCACAATTTTAGGTAATTTCGTCAAAGTGCAGCCTCTTAGAGTAAGTGTACTACCACACAATGGACTGGTGTTTTCCAGTTCTCTTATTCTAGTGGTTTGCAACAAAGAGGACTCTTGTACTTATTCCTTGTCTATAATGAGGCAGATAATTGTGCATCAATGTGAGAGTTAGGTCGCCGGTGAAGGCTCGCACTAGTTTTTTACTGTTATGGTTTCTCATACATTTCGAATATCACACAGCATTGCAGTTGCTTCAGAGATACAGTTGCTGACATCAGGCTCCTCCCATCTCCCGTATTCACTGCACCGTCTGGTTGCATTGGCCTCAGTAATGTCACATCCTCCCTCTGTCAGCGTCCCATTGTACTGACATAGAAAACTCTGAATAGCAGTAGCCTCTCTCTCTGTCCATTCGTAGTGGCCTTTCAACAGTGTGGTAGATTCATCAGGGCAGTACGCTACACAATTCAGAGCAAGTTTGGGTTACGTAGCTATTTTATGTGATAGTTTGATCATAGTTCAAGCTTCAACTAGTCCATGTAATGCCAAAGGTTTAGTAGCACCAGGCTACCCTCTTCAGTAGCAAAATGAGTTATAGACAAGCAGGGTGATGTTTATAGGCAAGAGTATAGGTGACACAGGAATGCATTGATCATTATGACCATACCTTCACATAGGACTCCAACATCTCTACTGTGGTCACAGTCAGAGAGTCCAAGATTGACCTCATTAAGGCATTCCAGATATTGGTCGGTGCCAGTGGAGTTAGTAGAGCACAACAGTCTTGGTATAAATATGGGTCCTGTTCCTGACTGAATGTCATATAGCGGTGTGCCTCCTGTACTTGCTGAGGTACTTGACTCTGTTGTAAGTTAACAATAGCAACTACCTAATATTTGATATTAAGTTTTAAAGAGTTTGTGAGCTATGTAATACAACTGGCTGATCATAATGTGAAAGTATGTTATCCGTTGTTAATAATTATGGTAAATGGGTAAAGGTAACTGTGTATATACACTGAAACTAGGCATTTGGCTTTTAGACTCTTGGGTGTATACATATATGGGGCTGCACTGTCAGTATGGGGCACTTGGATAACTTAAACACACTTTAGAACATAGGCACGCATACAGTTTCTTGTACTGGCCCATACGTACTATTCAAGACAACAAATGCCTGGTTATTGATGTACACAGTCACAAATCGTCTTACGTCTGAATCCAAGCTCATCACATAGTATTCCTCCAGCAACTGGTCCATACACACGATTGCAGATGGTTCCCCAGGCCTGGTTGTAGCAGACCTCGACTCTCCCCTCTCTGACAGTGGCTCCGTCAACAAGCCTCAGGTCTCGGTCTCGACATGTTCCGTTGTACTCTGCTTTTTGCTTTTGCTATTGTAGGAAAAAAAGAACAGAACAAGTCATTTGGTTAATGTCGTTGATTATAAAAGCATGAAACCACATAACAAACGAACACCATAAGGAAATCATTTCATAACTGCCACCTAATTTTGTTTCTATTGCAGTACCAGAAATTGTCTAATTCATCCCAGGCACTCTTACACTGGCAAACAACGTAGGCATCTTGCAGTGGACCACACTCATTCACGACTTCAACTCCAGAGGCATTCATGGGACAGCCAAGAAGACTGTCTTCAGTTCCATTACAATGAACAGACCGCAGCAGAGCATCACGCACATCATTGGCATATGGATCTTCACCACCCCCAATGGCACCTTGAAGTGAAGAGACATTGCTTTACTGTAGAACAAAATAATGTTGTCTTACCATATGGAGAAAATCCAAGTTGTTGGCACACAACTGATGCATCCTTGTGATCCCAAAAGTCATCGCACACACTGCCATACGTTCCATTGATACAAACCTCCACTCGACCCCTGGCTAGTTCATAGTCAATCAATTCATGTGATGTGGGTGCTTCATCCTTTATCAACCTCACATCTCCTTCTGTGCAGGTTGCTAAAAGAGCATAATAAGGTATATATTCACTTTAGAGTATAATGGCTGATCCTAAAGCATACCATTGCATATGACTCCTGCATCCTCACTGTGATCATTGGGGCAGCGTTTCCCTCCTTCACCCTCGTATTCCACGCAATTCATCAGTGTGTCCTCATCTCCACCACATAGCAGTGCTTTGTTGAATATCTCAGACACCCTGCTATCATTAACAGAAAACACGCTGTTCTTTAGAGCCACAACATCTACAAATTATACATAAAGTCTTTGAAAATCCATAATAACTGTGAATTTTCGACAGACCTTCTCCAGTGTAGTTGACTTGCCTGCAGACCACCTTTGCCTCGGGTTCATCCCACAAGTCATCACATACTGTTAGGTATGAGTTTCTCTGGCAAATCTCCACTCGTCCCTCCCAGTCAGTAGCTCCTCCAGACAGCCGAATATCGCCATCATCGCATTCTAATTGAAACACAAAGTAGCTAAAACTCAGAACATTTAGAGGCAGTAATTGACAATTTCCATGATCATCCTATTAAAAGAGTAGACAGGTAAGGGAGGGGGGTGCTCAAGCCCCCCACAGCATCATTTTATTTTTACCCACCCCTCTATCTGGAAGTTGTAGTTGGTCAAAAGTCGTTAAGTAGTCACTAAAACTCATCTGCTCTTGTTCGTGTCTGTCCACAAAACTTGTTTCAAGCACACACAGACTCGAAAACTTATTCGATAACTAACCCCCCCCACTATTTGTGGAAAGTTGTCAACACCCCTGCGACGTACCACAGGAGTATCCACTTCCAGTGAATCCTCTGACACACGTACACTCATAGCTCCCATCAGTATTGCTGCACTCTGCACTCACACTGCATCGGTTGAGTGAACTATCCTCACACTCATTCATATCTGCAAGAACGAATGTGAACTTCTTGAGATTTCTGCCATCAAATTGAGGTTTCTACCTTCACACAATTTCCCATCTCCACTGTATCCAGTGTTGCAGGTGCAAATGTATGACCCAATGGTGTTTGTACAGTTTGCGTTTTGGTGGCAATCATTAGTGCCATCAGGTCCACATTCATTCACATCTGAAAAGGGGTGCATGAGAAGCATTGACAAATATCTATTACTGAGCAAATTTCCAGTAAAACAGGCGTTAACTAACACTATTGAATGAAGAACTTCGTAAATTTGGGCATAAACATAGGCATATCTATACCTTCACAAAAGAAGCCATCTCCAGTGTACCCGTTACTACATATGCAGGTATAATGTCCCTGGTGTATCCACTGCAAACTGCATTTTCATGGCAATTGTGTGTGTACTGTTGGAGGTACATTCATCTATATCTGTTAAAGGGAAAGAATATTGAGTTGTTTTGCTTGTTCTAAAGTTAGTTACATACTTGTACAGTTGTTCACATCTCCCGAATAGCCATCAGCACATACACAAGTGTAATTTCCATCAGTATTGAGACATTTAGAGTTGCTAAACATTGTGCAGTTATTCTCTTTGTCACTCCTGCACTCGTCAATATCTGTATATATACAAAATGGCATCAACTCAGGTTTCTACCTTTTACTATGAGTGATAGAAGAACATATACCTTGCATGATCATGAGTGGCTATGTTAGTGTTACCTGTGCAATTTAGACCATCTGGTCCTATTTCATAGCCAGGAGTGATACACCCACACTCGAAAGAGCCATCAATATTATTACAAGTCTCAGCACAGCCACTGGTGTTCAAAGCACACTCATCGACATCTAAAATTTAGAGAGATGTCTTGCGTTATGTATATTATAAACAAAGTGAGTTTCATTACCAGTGCAGTCGTAACCATCTCCAGAATAGCCACTGTTGCAAGCACAACTAAAGGAGCCAGGTTCATTTGTACACGTTGCATTGTCATGGCAGGTGTGCGTTTTCAAATCACACTCATCTTCATCTAAGAAGTGTGAAATAATAAAAGTGCATATTGCTGCAAGTATAAACATGGACTAATTGATTCTGCTAATAGTATATTGTCTTTATACCTGGACATCTAACTCCTAGATCCTCAGCACAACCATCACAGGCACAAGAGTCAGTGATGAATCCGACGCGAGCACTGGTTATACAGGACTCTATGCTCAATTCAGTTCCATCACATGCTACTCCGTCGACAAACACTGGAGCTGAGACCTCACCAAACTCTCCGTTTAGAACTGGCTCCGGACTGTTTTCAACTGTAAGAAAGACAGTGACAGTTTGGGATTGACATCTTCTTGAGGGTTGCTAGCAATAATTATGATTGTCAATATTCGGGCAGCATTCAAGGACCAGCAGCACCTGCTTGACACTCTTCGTTCATGTTGCTATTGTTTGATAGTGAAGCTAACTACCAAACCCTATTTGTGGCTGAATACACAACAATAAGCACATATCATTCTGATTGGCTTACCTCGAGGAGGAAGTCTCCCAATTTGCCTGCAAATGACTTCGACATCGTCCTCGCTGATACCCTCAGTGCAGATGGTTCCCCAGGCATTGTTCTGACAAATCTCAACTCTACCTTCCAGAGGATTGGACCCATCCACCAGACGTATATCGTTGTCTTCACAGTTTCCAATCGCAGTTGAGCGATCTACAGTTTGTATGGTTATACTACATTAGACACAAACAATACAGTTGAGCTTATAGTTTGTATGTCACATTGGATTGGGAATACAGTGAAACCTGTCTATAGTGGCCGTCTATAGTGGCCATCTATCGGCCATGAAAAAGTGCCAATTATAGGCTTTATGGAGGCCAAAATGAATGAGGGCAAAGCACTATCGGGGCTCACAAAGTGACCTTCCTATAGGGTGGCCACTATAGACAGGTTTCACTGTAGACAGCACTTGACAATGTCAAACTACACTTACAGACCTTGACAGATAGCAACAGTTGAAGGGCACGATCCAATGTTGTTGGTATCATTGGAACATTCACTGATCGTGTTCTCTGTGCCTCTACAACTCAGCTGTCTCAGCACTGGAGGCACCAAATGGTTTGAGAATAGATCTCCACCGATGACTAGAGCACCTGTAGTAGTACAACCACACAGTGGAAATTACAGCACAACAGTCTATGCCAGAAATTTGTTAGTCATAATGTACTACACAAGCCACAGATACCTAACCTTATAACACATCAACATTCCTTCTAGCTAATGAGCTAATTTCATGTAAAGAGGAGGGGCAAGCGTACGTGCTTTCACTATACTGTTATCGTTCTACAACTGCTGAAATTTCACACTTACAATATTTGTAAGTTGACACTCTCGCCAAGAATAATAAAGTTAACTAATGTGGAGGAGAGAACAGGTCTTTCAGAGTTGTCCAGTGTAATTATATCATTGTGCAGAACTAAAAATTAACCATATCGTGAGAATCCCAGCTGCCAGCATATGACAGAAGCAGCTTTGCTGTTCAAGAGATCATCAAAGCACACGGAGCCATATCCTCCGTCGACGCACACCTCCACCCGACCAATCTTGAGTTCATCTTTGATGTACAAGTTCCCGTAGTGAGAGTCGAGGTCTGCCGTGTAGTAGTCGTCTATCATTAGTCGAATGTCTCCATCCTCGCACGAGTCTGTGTGACAACAAAACACTCCTAACCACAGGATCATTAGCTACACACTGTAGTAAGCTATGCTTAGAACATTGGTGTATTTTTTATGTATGTATAGCCACTAGTAAAACGTTAGTATACCAAAGACAAATCTTCCCTCACCTTCACATCTTACTCCAGCATCTTCAGAATGAGAGCAATCTGATTCTCCCACTTGACAGGCAATTGCCATTCCATTGCTGTCATATTTACAAGGGCACGTCAGTAGACTATCCTCGGTTCCATTGCACACAAGGTTGTCCAGGAAAATGGGGTGGTCATGTGGAGATCCATAAAAGGATTGCCTTACTGGTATCGATGTTGTTTCTAATGTTGGGAAGTGAACTAAGTAAAGATTCTAGAGAGAGGCAATAGCAGTCAAACAGTGCATGTGATAACACAGTGTGTTACTAACAAGTGTCAACCCTTCGTATTGGGTACCCAGATCAGTAAACCCCCAGTATTTTGCCCTATGTAACTTTCCTGTATCCTATATACTGTAGCCTACGCGAACATGATGTGTAAGAGAGCACCAATTATTGGTACGCTAGTATTCTAGCTGCTGAAGACACTTAGACTTGAGAACCAAGAAATCTCCCTTGCTCTTGTAGGGTATGAGTAGCTACCCGAGACTTTATACTTTGTTATTACCATTTGCATCAGTGTTTCCAAGCTGTCTACACACGACAGTGGCATCGTAGGAGTCCCAGCGATCATCACACACTGTGCCATAGGTGTCATTGTAGCACACCAGAACCGTCCCTTTGCTTAAACTCTGAGAAAATATTCCGTCGTTGTAGAGAAGTACCTCCCCATCCTCACATGCTGTAGAAGAATAAGTTGAGCACACAAACAATAGCTCATACAAATTTCCTGAAGAGAGAAGAAAATCTACACGATAATGATCGTGCATTGCATTTTACAATCGATTGAAAGAGCTATAGAATATCACTTACAGCAGCTTGTTCCATTTGTTCCATTGTACCCAGGGAGGCAGGTGCATATATAGGAGCCATTCGTGTTCCTACACTTGGCATTAATGTCACAATCATTGATCCCCTTGCACTCATTAATGTCTGAAAATGAGTAAGTCATTTGCAAGTCACACCTTCAAAACAACCTTAAAGATGCTTACCTGTGCAATTTCCCTCAGTGCCATCACCAAGGTATCCATTATTGCAAGCACAGGTAAAACTGCCAATAGTGTTGGTACAGAAACCGTTGATCACATCACAGTTATTGGTATTGTTATTCTCACACTCGTTAGTATCTGCAAAATAACACATTTGTAGCAACTGAACACACGCACATATCATGCCTTCAGAATTATTTAGGTGTGACAAGAGTAGCTTTAAGATAAAGTTCATGTGAGTACGTAGGTGGGCTGGTTTCACTTATTGATTGTATGTGGTCAAACAATATAACTGTTGGAGTGCTGATTTTTTTCTTCTCCTTTTTTGAAAATATTTTTAGATAGAGCATACATAAGGCAGAAAAAACCCCACAAAGGCAAAAAGAACAGTAAATGAAACAAAAAACAAGCAAAACAAAAATAAACAAAAGCACTTCCGAGACGCACTGGAACAGTGCTGATTAATGAACTCACCATTGCAAGTGAAGCCATCGTCCAGAAGGTAATAACCAGATTCACAGGAGCAGTTGAAACTACCAAAGATATTGTTACACATTTGAGAGCAGCCACCGTTATTATTGTCACACTCGTTGAGATCTGTAAAGAAAGCATATACCTCTTTAACCATCGTCACATTTAATGCTGCAGTAAACGTACCAGTACAATTGAATCCATCTCCAGTAAATTCAGGTTTGCAACTACAATTATAGCTCCCAATTGTGTTGTTACACACTGCTACCACCTCATTGTCGCACATGTCAATTTCCAACTCACACTCGTTTATATCTGAACAAATACAAAGCCATTGATGACTTTGGTTATTTAAGAGAAATAAAAGATTGTGCTACACTGCACAGTGAAACAATTAGACTGTTTCAAAGAGCACATGATGTCTCTGAAGTGCTTTACCTGTGCATGTTTCATCAGTCCCTTCTCCTGAGTAACCACCTAAACATGTACAGTTGAAGCTCCCATTGGTGTTAGTACATTGGGCATTCTCGTCACAGTTATGATATCCTTCATCGCATTCGTTTATATCTGATATTGCAGAGAGTAAACAAACATAGATTGGGATTAAAAGTGGTATGTACAGTATATACCATCACAAGTGCTGAGATCTGCATCATTGAGTCTGTAACCACTGCTACAGGAGCAGTTGTAGCTTCCAATTGTATTGTTGCACATTTGACTGCATACAGCATGCTCGGTGTTGTTACACTCATCGATATCTAAAGGAAACAAGTATTCAAAAACTGTGTACTTTTCGTTATAGCCTCATACATACCAATACAGCTAACAGCGACGTCCTCAGAATGATCGCAGTCAGCAAGTCCCAGTACAGTAGTCCTACAACATAGAGAGTGTGTGTGCGGCTAATTATGCAGCTACCACCTTTCTATGTCAATGCTCACATGTCGCATTTCAGAAGATTTTGCTCGGATCCCGAACATCGTAGATCCTGTAGGAACACAGGGCCCTCTCCAGGTATTGGTGATGGTAGTACTGCGGCCCCTGCAACAGAAACATTGTCTTTCTCTTCCACGTTCTATAGGTGTGCCCCTATAGCTGACCTTCCATCTGGAATCCGGGGAGCTGTTGGCACACCACATCTGCATCCTCCGTAGTGAACGAGTCCATGCACACTGTTCCCCATGCACCGTTGACACACACTTCCACTCTTCCCTTCCTCACACCCACACCATCCACCTCACTGTCCACACCGTCACCCAATCTCACTGAACCATGCTCACAATCACTATCTGGCATTGTTGATTGATCTGTTGGACAAACAGCAACATTGGAAATGAAACTTTTCAGCTGCTTCTCTTATATTTTAATGTACTTAAATTGTTGTGAGTCGAAATGGTTTAGCTTTTTTCTAAAGGCAGCACTTGAATTATGGGTAGCATTATGGCTTCACTATTGGTTAATCCGTAGTCAGGACACTCAAGCTAATGCACACCTTGGCAGGCAATTCCAGCTACTTCATACAATCCACAGTCCTCTTTAGGCTCTTGGTCAATCTGACACTGAGAAATGTGAGTTTCGCTCCCGGCACAGTCGAGGTAGCGGATGGCTTCTGGTAGGTCAGTGGCACTGAATGGATTGTAAGGCTGAAGCACTATAGCACCTGCAGAGGAGAAAGACACAATGACATAAAAAACTAGTGCTATGTAAGTTCACCGAAGTCCATACCGTAAGGAGAGAATTCTAGCTGTGAGCAGATGACAGAGGCACTCTCATAGTTCCAATAGTTATCACAAACTGTTCCGTATCTTCCTCCGATACAAACTTCCACTCGACCAACTCTCAGTCTGTCATTGCTCAAGTAGTGAGACTCTATTTCATTCTCTGGTAGGTCGACTTGTAACCGAACAAAATTCTCTTTGCAACTTTCTGCATAGAGTAAGAAATACAGATTATACAGCACAAGTGGAGCCCTAGGTAAGTACCTGTGCAGCTGACACCTGCATCTTCATCGTGCACACATTCTTCTGTGGCTTGACTATGTGAGCATTGTTGGAGTGTGTCTTCATCTCCATCACATTGGACACGTGTTAGATGTACTGGACCGGAAGAAGCGCCATAGAATGCGTGGGTGAAAGCAGATGAATTCTCGCTGTTGTATCCCAGATTTCTACAAACGACTTGGGCATCCTCTTCACTCCAGCCATTATGACAGATGGAACCATAGGTATTGTTGAAACAGACTTCAACTCTGCCTTCCTTTAGCAGTGATCCATTCACAAGTCTCAAATCCCAATCACTACACACTGGATTAAGATAACACTCTGTTAAAGCACTATCAGTTCACTAGCTAGTACAGTAATGCTAAACGTCCATAAGTGAAAACATCTTACTGCATATGCTTTCGTTTGATAATCTGTAGCCATCCTCACAGTTGCAGAGAAAACCATCACTAGTATCCATACAGATTTGATTGACACCACAGGTATCATTCTCACACATCAGTGCTTTGGAATTGAAAACCTGGTTCAATCAAGTGCACTAAGTAACAAAAGAGGGGTTACCTTCACAGTTGTGTCCATCTCCAGTGAACTTGGGCTTGCATTCACACACGTAGGATCCAGGCATGTTGATACAGGAAGCATTCGAATGACAGGTATTCTCTTGCTGACACTCATTTATATCTGTAGCAAATGAGTTTTGAAATAAAAGGTTATACATAGTAGAAAGTATCATCCCCAACGGACCTTGACAGGTTCCATTTTCTCCAACTACTGCATAACCTGAGTTGTTACAGACACACTCGAAGCTGCCTTCAGTATTAATACACATCTCCGCACAATCTGCAATACCTTCTTGACACTCATCAACATCTGCGTTGTTTTAAACATTGGACTCTGATTTGAATCAGTATGGTAGGGGATGATGGGTACTTTACCTATGCAATGGGACCCATTTCCAGTAAAACCGAGTTTACAGACACATTCAAAACTGCCGTAGGTGTTTCTACAGTTTGCTCTCGAGGGATCGTCACATATGTTGAGAGTCAAAGACTTACACTCGTCCACATCTACGGCGAAATAAAAAGGTATGGTCATAATAGTGCAATAGGATATTCATAGCATGGGTGATGCCCTTGATAGGTTAACCCATCATACTACAATAGTACTGATCACCCACCTTCACATATGACTCCAGCATCTTGTGAATGGTCACATTCATGATATCCTATAAGTCCAACTACGGAGCAATTCCTGAAATATGTATCTTCTTCACAACCAATTCTATCCATAAATATAGGCCCATGTCCTTCACCAAACGATGCACTGAGCATTGGAATCGAGGCACTGTGAGCAAAATCAAACTGGACATCCAACTGATTGCAAATAGCATTTGCTTCATTTTCCCCAAAGCCTCTTTCGCAGACAGTCCCCCAGGCTCTGTTGTAGCAGATCTCAACTCTGCCCTCCAGAGGGTTTGCTCCACCCTGGAGACGTATTTCACCATCCGCACAGTCAGCTTTTGGTGTAACTGGATCTGTAAAACACATTGATTTTGACCACAAATTATTGTGGTGTGCTGGTATATTAGTGCTACATAGTGATGCCTAGTGTGTCCAGACTGCTTTATGGTATCGAGCATTCTGTGCTCTGGATCAGCATACACATATTTTAGTATAGAAACTTTTTCAGACTCACCTTGACAAACAACTCCTGCTGCTGACTCACAGGACTCATCATCATCACCGTACATTAATGACCCCACATTATGTCCACTGAATTGAACAGTGTGCTGGTTAGGGCTAGAACTCTCCAGATCCACCGCCAAAGCACCTAAAGGAAGTTTGATTATACAAAATGATTCATTGTGTATTAACTTACCAAACTCTGAAAAGCCAAGCTGTTTACAGGCAATACTTGCAATAACATTATTCCACAATTCGCTGTGGCATATGGATTTCCACATGCCGTTCATACAGATGTCAACCCTTCCTCTGTGGATCTCATCGTTAATGAAGTCAAACGATGGGAGGTCACCCTCTCTCAAGTATAGCTCCTTAGCTGTCCATTCATCTGCTGATACCAGTAGTAGACTCTGTTCTTCACATTGAGACTCCCTCGAGCATTTAACCCCAGCATCCTGGCTGTGGTCAGTACACTGGTGGGATCCTGCGCCTCCATGGCAGTCCAGCAGACTTGATTCATTTCCATCACACAGTAAGTCGTCCAGGAATATTGGGCCATGAAAACCTCCAAGTCCAGATCCCAGCACAGCATGACTGAAATCTGAACAGCATTAGCATAATAGTTTAGGGTTTGGATCATTAACGATTAATGCTTGTCCTTGTAAAATACGTCAGTGCTAATTTGTATCCTAACCTTGTTCATATCCAAGTTGTCTGCAGACCACTGTGGCCTCTAGCTGGTCCCAGTAGTCATCACATACTGTTCCATAGACACTCTCATAACACACAAGCACAGTTCCTTCAGTGAAGTCAGGAGATACGTGTGATCCATTGAAGAGTAGTATACCGCCGTCCACACATGCTTTGATGGGAGAGAATAATTATTAATTGACGAGTGATTAAGGAGAGAAACAACACAAACAAGTGATCTTAAATGAGTGACATCATCAAATTATGTAAATAGATACACACCTTATCATGAGATTAAAGTAGGTCTTACTAATTATACATCACCATGTGCCATTGGACATTGTACATGCACTAACAATTGTAACACACTTCACGGATATGCTTGCATTTCCTTGGTAAACTTGAACTAAATTGCGCCCCATCAGTAGCAGCAACCCTATGTGTATCTTACTGCAATCAGTGCCATTTCCGGTGAATCCAATGTCACAGGAGCAGTTGTAACTCCCAGGGGTGTTGATACAAGTGCATTCACTGCGCATAGATCATCTATTTCACTGCACTCATCAATATCTGCATGAAGGAAGGATGTGTTTTATAGTCTTCCTCTGTGCAAAACATGATTCTAGAGTTTCATGATATACTAACCTGAGCAGTTATATCCGTCTCCAACATATCCAGCACTGCAGTTACACTCAAAGCTACCAACAGTGTCTGTACAGTCGGCAAACTCTCCACATGTCGAGTTCAACTCACATTCATCAATGTCTGAGTAAAGAGAGGTTAATTATAATACTTGATCACCTACAGACACACCCTGTAATACCGTCTGCTTTTACACAAGCTACATCAAATCTCACTTACTTGTGCAATACAGTCCACTACCAGTATATCCACTGTTGCATTCACAGATGAAACTACCAGCAGTGTTTGTGCAGTTGGCATTATTGTCACAAGGAAAACTTTCTGAGCACTCATCAATATCTGTCAAAATTTTAACAGTTAGACATACAGAGAGGGGGATTGACGTTAATATTTTTTTTATATGCTTGTAGGGTAAATATTCAATATGTAATTTTACTAGGAATGCGCACACGCATATTTTGCCTCGCGCCTGCCAGCCAATGTGTAAACAGTCCGACTGAGGTCGCTCGTGCGCGCGCTATACTGACTGAAGCCAGACTTCCTCCTACGAATCTGTGCGCATGGCGGAAACTAGACTTCCTACGAATGATGGAAGTTACACTTCCTTTTGGTGACTAATTGACATTCCTAAGCGTGACTAATTGACGACACGTACGTACGCAATATATACAACCCGGAGTAAGATACAACAAGCAGGGGCAAGCATTCATTTACCCTCGCAGTGTGTCCCATTTCCCAGTGTATCCATGGATGCAGCTACACTGGAAACTTCCTTCAGTGTCGGTGCAGTTTGCATTCTCATCACACACAGGTGAGTCCTGCATGCACTCATCTATATCTGAAAGTGGGCAATACATACCATTACAACTTATCAGAACAAGCCTTCAGAATATGCCAGGGTACGTAAATTTAAAACTGTTACTAAAAGCGGGAAAATGAATGCATTTTGGCACTGGGCCCTATCTGTCTTTACTAAGTCCTGATGTAGAGTGCAATCTCTGCATCTTTACTTGTGCAGTTGAAGCCATCTCCTGTATACCCGATCACACACGAGCAGTCGTAGCTGCCCACAGTATTAATGCAGTCAGCATTAGCGTCACACGAGTTGTTTCCCTGACACTCGTCGACATCTGCAAAGGAAAGGTTACTTGTCTAATTCTGAGACTAATTCAGGTGCAGTGGGAGCTAGCAAATACTTTAAAAGTAGAAATTTGACTAACCATTGCACGTGTGCTCATTAAAGTCCAGCAAGTATCCATCACGACAAGTGCACTGGTAACTACCAATACTGTTAATGCAACCCTGAGTACAGTTGTCTATACCCTCAGAGCACTCATCAATATCTAAAAATGTTGCGATGACAATGGATGTTGCAATAAAAACTCAAGGGGTAGTAACACTCACCTTTACAAGTTAAAACAGGTGCAAGCCCAGTTAGACACTCAGTGTTGTCAACTCCTCTAGGACACTCTAGCAGGGTCTCCTCATCTCCCTCACAATTCACCTCAGATAGAAACACAGGTCCACTAATGGGAACAGAACCATTCACCCCAAATTGTTTCTCTCGTAACCCCCAGCTTGCTGGCAGGCAACCTGGGCATCGTTTTGACCGAATACACCATCATAGCACACTGCTCCCCAGGCATTGTTAATGCATATCTGAAGTGTTCCAGTTGAAGTGTTTTGAGATGGATCTTCTGAGCCCTCTGAAAGCCTAACATCACCAGTCACACAATTTCCAGAGGGTGTCGTAGGGACTGTATGTGGTGCAAGAAAAGAGCTAGAAGAACCAATATGCATTTTGTGCGTGTACTAATAACACGTACTACACATGATACTGCATAGCAACACATGAAATGTAGTAAAGAGCAATTTCCGGGCCTCACCTTGACATACAACACCTGCATCACTAATAGGGCCACACTCTGTGAGAGTGCTGTATGGACAGTCTGTTAGGCTAGTTTCCAATCCATTACAGCCCACGGCACTGATGACGGTAGGTGCCACTGTTGTGTGGAACTCTTCATGTGTCAGGTTGAGTGCTCCTGTTAGGGAAAATGTGGTATTGTAATAGGGTGTAAGTGAGGTGAAACTGACCATAGGGTGAAAATCCAAGTTGTGAACAGACTACAGAAGCATCCTCATAGTCCCAGTTGTTATCACACACTGTTCCATATTTCCCTCCAATGCACACTTCAACTCTGCCCCTCACTGCTCCCATGTCCCCCTCGAAATACACAATGTCATGATCATCATTCTCTTCCAGCAGTCTTACTCGGCCTTCTGTACAGTTCGCTATTATATTATGTAAAGAGGGCAGAGGAAAAATGACGTTCATAGTTTTAAATGTGTTTTTAATACACAGTCATTGACTTTGCATTAACACTACTATATAGCAACAGAAGTCTATAGTATGGTGGTTCTACAAAATTATGGATTGAGGGTGAAAGTCGACAATTGAATTACACAAACATATATTTTCTCTAAGCCTCACAAAGCCCTACCTACACAAGACTAACCCGTAATCATACCTTCGCAACTGACACCGGCATCTTCTGAGTGGTTGCAACTGTGGACTTGGCTTGGAGAGCAGTCAAGGATTGAGCTCTCACTCCCATTACACTGAACATTGCTCAAGAAGATCTCCCCTCGACCCTCACCATAATAAGCTCTACCATGTACCTCTGGAACTGTTACAAAGGCAAAATATACTTGTGTTCTGATAGATAAAGTTTATATTATGAGTATATACCTGCATTAGAAAAGTTGAGAGACCTGCAGATCACTTGTGCATCTAATAGTCCCCAGCCATTGTCACATATAGTCCCATACACATTATCGCGGCACACTTCAACCCTCCCTTCTCTATGAGATGATCCATTCACAAGACGATTGTCTCCATCCTTGCATGCTGGAAAAAAGGCAAAGTATAATACATGATGAATGAATAGCAAGTATATAACACATATAAAACAAGAGAGTAGTTGATAACAATTGGTTGAAGATGAACTTACTGCAGTTATTGCCATTCCCATCATAGCCATGGTTGCAAACACATCTGTAGCCTTTGAGCTCATTAACACAATAGTTGTTGTTGTTGCAGTCGTGGTCACCAGACAAACATTCATCAATATCTATTACAGAATATTTGCAGATAAATATAATGTCTGAAAACTTTAGGAAATGCCACTCTCGAAAAGGTTTTGCTGGGTGTACCCTTAATATTAACCGTGTGGTATAATTATACTTTGCCCTTGTCATATTACTGTCTATGTAGCATTAAAGCAAATACTGTTTAACCATGCTGTGTATTTATGTCAGGGATTAGTTACCAATGCAGTTAATGCTTCCATTGCTGCCACTGGCACTTCCCGATCCACTTCTGCTGCCAATGTCAGTGAACCCTTCTAGACACACGCAGACTCCACCAGTACACTCAGCATTAGGGACACAGGTGGTGTTGTCACTATCCAGAGAGTGTAGATCGTGGCAGCTACACTGATGACCAGGTATGGTGTTGGTGCAGACCTGATCACATCCTCCATTACTGACGGAACATTCATCATAGTCTACAAAAACAAATGATATTCATCTTATAACTCCAAAAGTCTTGCATCAAAAAACTAAGAATCTTAAAAGGAGCATAGGGTATGTTACACCGCTAACCTATACATCTGATGACCACGTCTTCGTTGTGTGTACAGTAATACAAGCCAGGAGATGTTCCTTTGCACAATTCAAGCTTTGTCTCGTGGCCATCACACGGTACTTCATCCAAAAATATTGGTCCGCTGCCTGGTGGAATTCCACTGTCAAACAAGAGTTCTGTCCCATTGAAAGGGAACCCCAGCTGGTTACAGGTAACATTTGCGTCTTTGATGCTGAATTTTGTGCGACAGACGGTTCCCCATGCTCGGTTGAAACAAATCTCAAGTCTTCCTTCGAGTGGATTTGAACCATTCACCAGTCTGATGTCCCAGTCTGTGCAAGAGGCTTCACTAGTACTGCGTGGATCTGTAGATAAGTTATACACACATTGTAATCAGAATGAGTGGGTGTGATGTATAGCTACTGCACAGAGGACCAAAATGTACCATTGGGTATTAATGCTAATTTGACCAACCAGGAGATAAGGTAGCTTACCCTGGCACACAATTGCTGCTCCTTCCCCAGATGGACACTGTCCCAGTGGCTTGGAAACAGAGCAGTCGAAGAGAAAATTCGCACTTCCTTCACATGTCACGTTCCCAACAACAACAGGCAGTTGTTCTTCCGCTTGGAATTTTCCACCAGGTAAAACAATGGCGCCTGTAGATAAACATAATTATACAAATTATGCTAGAACACACTAGGTATTCTGTTTTATGTCGGTAAAAACATAAGGATGATTATACCATAGTTTGAAAATCCAAGCTGGGAGCAGACAACTGAAGCATCTTTGGCATCAAATTGGTCATTACACACTATTCCATATCTCCCTGCAACACAAATCTCGACTCTCCCCCTGGCTAATTCGTCCTTGATGAAGTAGTAACCTTCCTTCTCATCAATAGTCAAGTAAAATTGAGTTAGGTTCCCAATCCCAAGTCGGATATCACCTTCACTACATGTTGCTGCAACAAAATTAATTGCAAAAAGGAATGAGGTTATTGACAGAAGAAGGTCTGGCAATATACCTTCACATCTGACTCCAGCTTCCTCAGATCTGTCACAGTTAGTGATGGTGGTGTAGCCACACTCTGTGAGGCTGCCCTCTCCTCCAGTACACACCACATTGTCCAGGAAGATAGACCTGTTAGGAGGACTGCCCAGACCAGAGCGGACCACTGGCAGAGAGCCTGTGTGAGAGGGAAAGGTGTGGAATTGATGGAGAGATCCACAAATGATAGACAGAAGAGAACAAACCAGTAGCTGAGAATCCCAGCTGAGTACACACAACAGTGGCATCCAGAGGGTCCCACCAGTCGTCACACACAGTGCCATACTCATTGTCCAGACAAACCAGTACAGTTCCATTGGAGTGGTTGGTGGAGAGTGTACTACCATCATACAGAAGAATCTCTCCGTCTCTGCAGTCTGTTAAGATTGGTTTTAATGCAGAACAGGTGCATAACCAACAACACAACTAAACCTAGTACAACATAAAGACTTTGCCCTAGGCTGGACTTAGAACCCATGGCACTCTGTTCTCTAGATAAGTGCTCTACGACTGAGCTAAAGCAGGCTGGGCACAATGCATATCAACACAAGGCTAAAGTAAACCACAAACTCGGTACTATGGCAGAGAAATCCATTACTATGCTTTGAAGGAAGGATTATAACAGAAAAGAATGGGCTACATTAATTAGCCTGCCACTGTGACAATCAAGCATAACATGTTGAGACACTAACCACAGACAAATCCATTCCCAGTGTATCCAATGATACAGGTGCAATCATAGCTGCCAAAGTTGTTACTACAGTCAGCATGAGAGTCACACAGATGAAATCCCTCGTAACATTCATCAACATCTATCAACACAAGTTGTGGGATGATTGTAAATATCAATAATCAATAGTTAGCATACCTCTACAACTGAATCCATCCCCGGAAAATCCAATCTCACAGTTACATAGGTATGATCCAACGGTGTTGTTACACTCGGCGTTCTGATCACAATTATTGTCATTTTTGTTGAGACATTCGTTGATATCTGATGAAAATATTGTACTTAAATTTTAATGCCAATTTTAGTAGCTACTGTCACACCTTTACAGATCATGCCATCTCCTGTGTACCCAGGCAGACAATTGCATAAGAAACTGCCAATTGTGTTGGTACAGTTGGCTTCGGGGTGACAGGGAAAACTTTCATATAAACACTCATCAACATCTTTTAGATGGGAATATTCCACAAATAAAGTGAGGTTAACAAGTAATTATGTGTCACCTACCATCACACACGAAACCATTCCCTGTATAGCCGACAGAACAGGTACAGTCATAACTTCCGATAGTGTCAGTGCAGATGGCATTATCACTGCAGTTATTCCCGTTTTCATCAGCACATTCATTTATATCTGATAAAGAAATTGGAAAATGTTATATACACATTCATGCTTAGAAACTGGTCCATGCATGCACTTACTTGTGCAATTGAAACCGTCACCCGTAAAACCACCAACACACTCACACTCATAGCTTCCATCAGTATTAGAACAAGTGGAATTTACATGACACGAGTTATTTCCGGTGGAACACTCATCGATATCTGTGAGTGATACGGATTATTAGTGTTTTCAAATTAGAGATGAATTGATGAAGATATAGCTACCTTCACAGTATGTTCCATTGCCAGTGTAGCCATCATTACATTCACAGTCATAGCCTCCATCTCTGTCCAGACAGGCAGCATTAGTGTGGCAGTCAGTGGGTACGACTTCACACAAGTTGATTCCTGAACAATTAGAAGTATTGAATGTGAAACTATGTAAAGTGGTATATGGCCTTACTTGTGCAGTTTACTCCATCTCCAATGTATCCGTACACACAAGTGCAGTTGTATGAGCCATCAGTGTTGGTACAAGTGGCATTAGAATGGCAGTTTGCTCCTCCCTCCATACATTCATCAATGTCTAAATGAGTTATAATAAATATGGTGCCATTACTATCACAAAGATATGTATCACTCCCAACCATTGCAAGTGTGTTGGTCAGAGTCCAGAGTGTATCCATCATAGCAGACACACTGGTAGCTACCAAGAGTGTCAGAGCAATTCTGAGAGCAGTTGTCAGTGTTCTCAGCACATTCATCGATATCTATTAATAAAGGCCATAACTCCATATCGGAGGTAGAGTTAAAATAGTGTGTCTGTACAAACCGAAGCATTTAACTGCTGCAAATCCAAACTCCTCATCACATGATGCGAGACCAGTTTCGTCATGAGAGCAGTCAAACAGCAGAGACTGGGCTGTACTAGAGCACTTCATAGAACTCAGGAACAGAAGATCTCTTGTAGACATTAAAGTGGCTGGTATTCTCATTGCTCCTACAAGAGCAAATTAGTGCAAATTTCACTTATGTAACGCATTGTACCATTTGCAGTGAATCCTATCAGTTGCTTGCAAAACACTGCAGCATCAGTATTGTCAAAGAAGTCATCACTGCACACAGAGCCCCAGGCATGATTGACACAGATCTGGATAGTTCCCTGTCGAGAATCCTCCTCTGAGCTATTAGTGAAGTCTGTGAACCTAACTTCTCCTGTTGTACAGTCAGCAAATTCAGTGGATGGATCTTTTGAAAAAAAACATTAAGGATTACAGATAAAAAGCATTTCATTTCTTATTGCCGCCTACCTTGACAGGTGACTGCAGCAACTTCACTGGGATTACAATTGCTCTCTGTCACATACAAACACTCTAAGAGGTCTGTTTCGTTCCCAACACACTCCACTCTACCCAATACAACTCGCACTGAGGCATTACTAAATAGGCCTCCAGTGATGGCTACGGCTCCTGTAAAGCATTAAACATTAAATAGTCAATTCTCTCCATATTCACCCATCTTTACCATAAGGAGAGAATCCAAGCTGAGAGCAGGCAACAGATGCATCTTTGTTGTCCCAATTATCATCACACACTGTTCCATATCTCCCTCCAATACATATCTCAACTCTACCCCTTGCTAGTTCATCCTTGATGAAAAAGTCATCCTCAAAATCTTTCAGACCTTGGTAGATAGAATTTATGTCTCCGATTGCCAATCGAATATTTCCACTGCGACAGACTGCACCACAGATGACTCCAGCGTCCTCTGAATGGTCACAGTTACTGACAGAGTCATAGGAACAGTCCAGTATGTTGCCTTCGATACCAATACATGTAACATCATCAAGGATTATCGGACGAGATAGAGTCCTTCCAAATCCAGCATTCTTGACAGGTACAACACCTGAGGGTTCATTAATTAAAGAAAGCATTTGGTCAACAACAAGGTCTCAAGGACCAAACAACACAGTGACACACATAACAACCCTTTTTTCAAGGGATAAAGAGCTGGGGCCTAGGTGTGATTCCAACCCACTACACTTGACTCTAGGTGAGCTTTTTACCAGCTGAGCTATCAGAAACACACACATCACACACAATGGCATTACTAACTCGAGTGGTTATATCCCAATTGTCTG